TACAGTTCAGTTTATAGAAACAATGTACATTAGGGGCAATAACTTGACAATGCATCTCTTCCATCAAAAAACAATTAAAATTAGAAAAAAATGTGATAAGGGGAAAAAAAATAATGAAGCTCCTCGTTACGTGTTTCCAGGATGTTCTGCTGGTCTCTAGCATCCTAATGATGCCTTTGGGTCACAAGGCTTCTCTTTCTAATATGTCTTTCTCTTCTTTCTCTCCTTGCTCAGTCAATTTTGGGGGTCCAGTGTGAAGTGCAGAAGCAGCTGAAGGCCTTTGTCACTCTCGAGCGCTTTGAACGGATCTACAGCTCCAGCATCGCTGGGTGCCAGCATATCAAGAAGAACAAGAACTTTGCTTCTGGAGGCTCCATCTTCGGCAAGGGCGTCAAGTTCGCCATGAAGGATGGGCGAGTGGCCACCGACATTATCAGCGTGGCCAACGAGGACGGGCGGAGGATCGCGGCCATCCTGAACAACGCCCATTACCTGGAGAACTTGCACTTCACCATCGACGGGGTGGACACACACTATTTCATTAAGCAGGGGCCATCGGAGGGTGACCTGTCCATCCTGGGCCTCAGTGGCGGGCGGAGGACCCTGGAGAACGGCGTGAATGTGACAGTGTCCCAGATCAACACAGTGCTGAGTGGAAGGACTAGACGTTACACAGACATCCAGCTCCAGTACGGTGCACTGTGTCTAAACACTCGCTACGGGACCACCTTGGACGAGGAGAAGGCACGTGTCCTGGAGCTGGCCCGACAGCGTGCTGTCACCCAAGCTTGGTCCCGGGAACAGCAGAGACTGCGGGATGGGGAGGAGGGTATTCGATCGTGGACAGAAGGGGAGAGGCAACAAGTGCTAAACACGGGCCGGGTACAGGGCTACGATGGCTATTTTGTGATCTCAGTGGAGCAGTACCCCGAACTCTCAGACAGCGCCAACAACATCCACTTCATGAGACAGAGTGAAATGGGCAGAAGGTGACAGAGAGGGTCAATGCGGTGACTTCTTGCCAAAGACAGCTACTCTTTTGTGGCCACTTACCTGACTGTGTTGTACTCAATACTTTTTCTAAACTGAACAAGGGGGGGGGAGGAAAATAGAAAGAAAAGGAATAATACAGTTGCACTGTAACTCATGCAACATACTTTTTTCCCTCTTTAATTTGGCCTTCGCGTGTTTTTTGCAATGAACAGAAGGTATATTTTGCCGTAGTGTGATCACAGTGAAATTTACTGTCTCTTGTCCTTTTTTGGTTTTGTTTTGTTTTCGTTTTTCCCCCTCTTTTGTGAGGAATTTGAAGTGGGGAGTTGTCAACGTACCTACGTCCTTAGGTGTAAGTGCGAAATGGGTGTCTGTGCTAACTCGTGTCATCCTAACCCTTTCTGGTTTGGGCAGGGACAGAGAGCCTTCCACCCAAAACATGGGGAGTCCGCGGCATACCAGAGAGCTCTTCCTGGAAAGAATGGAGATGGAAGACAACGCTGATTCTGACACTCTGAAAGTGACCGTCCGAGTAATGTGCCTCAAAAGAGACCTTACTAGTAGTTTTCATGTTTCAGTTGGGACATAAAGTGTTTCCTTGGGGGCTCCTGCTGAGCAGAAGTAGATTATAGAGGCAAAGGAGCTGATTATATTACTTTGCAAGATGATTCTCTTCCTTCCTGAACTGGAATAAAAAAAGAAAAAAAAACAGTCTTTTTTCATTATGAGAGTAGATACTTTTGGGGGTTTTTTGTGTGTGCACAAATCCTGGTTTTAGTTAAATAACCTAGCAAAAACCAAGAAAAGGGACTCCTGCTCTATTGAGAAAAGCTAAAATAAATCCTCTCTCTCGTACGTAGAGCTGTTCTATAGGTGGATTTAATGCACCCATGTTGTACATTTGCTAATGGCATAACTTCATTAAATGTATAGTGTTTCAGTACATGAGGCTACGTGTTTAACAGTCCACTGTGCTGTATCTGATAAAACCAGTTAATTTTTAAGAAGCTGATTTGAATTTAAAAGTAGTTATAGTATCCCAGTGACATACCACTGAAAATTAGAGCCAAACCTTGCTTTTCCTGATTCTGGAGCTTGTATTTATTGGCTGGGAAATGCAGTTTTGAGTAGCATGCTGGCAAGTCGTTTATGACTATGGCAGATAAATGTCTCCCGGGGACTTTGGCAGTAGGGATTTTAAAATGCTTAATAAGTAGCAACAGCTTGTGCGTGGTGGGACAAGAAGGAGAATATTGGAATCAGCTCTCTCACTGTTTCTTACACGAGCTCGAATTAAATGGAGAGCACAGTTGACTGTTAGCAGTGACGAAGGGGGAGATTGAGTGGAAATGCCCACTGCAGAGGGGACCAAGTGCTTTAATGAGAAACTGCTGACAAAGTCACTCGGCATGATAATGTAATTTGTATTCACATAACCTCTGTGCTCTGGTATTTGCAAGAGTCCTTGAAATTCAAGGGAGCAAGGAGATGAGCTCAGCATCCTCTTCCCTGCCTGAAACAGTCCTGTGATAGCAAGGGCTGTTCCTGCAGGCAGAGATGTTACCCCACCTCTCAATGGAGCTCTGGCTGGAGGTGGCCAACCCTGGTCCCAAACAGATGTCTTATCACACTGACACCAGCACATATGCCGATTCTAAAAGCTTTCACTGTGTTTCTTTGGGAACAGCTCAGTCCTGGCTTTTTATTCCATCCACTTTGGTTTTTGCTTCCCAGTTCTTCAGAGAGATAACCCAAGATGTGCAATCCATACCAAGGCTGTTTCCTGACTTGAAGCCCTACAATGCACCTTTGTCCTCGGAACCAGCTCTTCTGCACTCATGCCACGAGCACTGCCATCCTCCAACACAGACTGATACTTGTTTGCAGGCTCTCACCCCCCAGACAAAGCGAGGGTGTTATGTTGGGCATGGAGTCCTCGAGCAGCGAAACATTGGCAGCCCCAGTGCTATCACGGTTTCCCCGTAGATGCCGGCTGCCAGCTCCGTCTGCCTTGCCTGTCTGTTCCAGGGTGCTTGCCAGAAGGAAGGTGATGGGATGGAAATTCCCCTAACAGACTGTTCCTCCTTCAGTTCCCAATCCCTAATGCCTTTGGCTGTGTGGCCATAACCACCAGTATGGTTTTGATTTTCTGGTGGTCTCTCCTGCTTGCAGTGAGGGTGATGATGCTGGTGCTGTGTCCCAGTGCTGTACTCTGAACCACCCCTTGCAGCACACAACCTTTATTACTTTGGCAGGAGTCAACCACAGGCAGCTGGAAAGAGTATCCAGTTCTGGCAGAGTCAGCTTGGAGAAGATGTGTTGGGCAGACCAGCTCTAGGCTTTGGCAAGGGAGCAGTTGCTTTAGGCTGCCGCCTACCAGGAATGGTTAAAAGGCCATGGCATTACCACCTGTATTGCCGGTATCAAGCTCTTGAGAAGCCTCGATTGCCCCGAGGATGTGCTGGTGGGGATTAGGGGAAGTGTTAGACAAACCAGCAGTAGCCACCTACTCAAAGGAGGCAGCACCCTCTTCACAGTGCTACCCAGCTCCCTGCTTCCCCATCCCCAGGTCACATCAGGGACAAATCCCTCTTAGAACCTCAAACTTGTGATGGCTGTGAATGTCTAAAACAGCATGAATGGAGGAAAAAACATCTGCAGGAAGCTGGGTCAAAAGGTATAAATCCCTGGTGAATACCTGCAGTGCAGAGAGGACTCAATGTGCCTCCCATTTACACTGCCCCACTCCGAGCGGTTCCAAAGAGAACTGGTGCTTCTGTATCCATCTCCATCCATATGTTACAATGCTAAGAGGAGTAGTGCAAGAGTAAATGGGCCATGTTTCCATGGAGCCAAGAAAAGGGATTCAAGTGTGAAACATTCCTACTGGAACCCTGCCAGCCTGAGATGGCACCTCTACAGCCTTACAGAGACTCTTCAGGTTATTACATGAGCTAATGACTTTGAGGAGTTCACCCATGTTTCAAGAGTCTTACAGTCCTGCCGTGCACACCCAGCATGCCTGGACCCAGGAGCCGTCCTGCTCTGCACCATGGCAAAGGCAAACCCCTCGAGTTGCATTTCTCAGCATCCTCAAGCAGCGGTGGGATGCAACTGCACCTGTCTGCCTGCCAGGTCCACGAGGATCTTCTCCTGGTCCTGCACATGGCGTGAGAACTATGGACATTAGGTCAAAAAGGGGAAAAAAGTATATATGTAAAAGTATATATATGTATATGTTGCTCCTCTCTATCAAAACAAAAAACTTAAAAAGGATGGCTGTCTAGTGTTCGGGATAAACCTGAAGACAGCTACTACATTCCTAAATCCTCAGCCTCTGTGAAAGCTTTCAACTTCACCTAGATGGCAAAACAAGAACATTTTCAGTCCTGAAGCCCTAAATTTACCCCTCTGTTAGTGAAAAATGTTTTTTCTACAGTATCTCAAGTGCATTCCCATGGAATGGGTTGAGAACACAAAGAGTTGTGCCCTCATCAAGGGACTGCACTCCACTATCCACAAGCATTTTCATTCTGCTGATGGCACCATAGCCACTTCCCAGCCCTTGTGTTGCCCCTTCTACCTCCACTATGGGCCATGCTGTGTGTGCCTGACCCTTCTTGCTTTGCTTATAGGAAGGGGTGCAGCAATTCATTGCTTCGGTAAGACTGGGAGGTCCTGGGTGCAAATCCGACAGCACTAACCCCCATCTCATAGAATCATAGAATGGTTTGGGATGGAAGGTACCTTAAAGATCATCTCATTCCAATCCTCCTGCCATGATCAGGGATACCTTCCATGAGATCGGGGTTGGTCAAAGGTCCATCGAACCTGGCCTTGAAAACTTCCATGGATGGGGCAGCCACAACTTCCCTGGGCAACCTGTCCAGTATCTCACCACCCTCACAGTAAAGAATTTCTTCCTAATATCTAATATAAATCTGCTTTCTGTCAGTTTGAAGCCATCCTTCTTTGTTCTGTCACTCCATGCCCTTGTCCAAAGCTCTCTTAGAGCCCCTTTAGGCACTGCAAGGGTCTCTAAGGTCTCCCCAGAGCATTTTCCAGGCTGAACACCCCAACTCTCTCAGCCTGTCTCTATAGTAGAGGTGCTGCAGCCTTCTGAGCATCTTTGTGACTTCATCTGGACTCTCTCCAATAGATTCATGTCTTTCTTGTGTCAGAGACCCCAGAGCTGGACACAGCACTTCAGGTGAGGTCTCACAAGAGCAGAGGGGAAGAATCCCCTCCTTTGACCTGCTGCTCATGCTGCTGGTGATGCAGCCCAGGACACAGTTGGCTTTCTGAGCTGCCAGTGCACATTGCTGGATCATGTTGAGCTTCTCACCCACCAACACCCCCAAGGCTACACTTGATCCATTCTCCGCCCAGTCTGTATCTGTGCTTGGGATTGGCCTGACCCAGATACAGGAACTTGCTGTTGGCCTTTTCGAACTTCATGAGGTCTGCACAGGCCAACCACACAGGCTTGTCAAGGTCCCTCTGGATGGCATCCCTTCCCTCCAGCATGTCCACCATTGCTCTAGATACTCTTTCAAAGGCCAGTCGCATGCCAGGCCATCTCCAAGGGATAAGGTCGCTGCGGTCTCACATGCTTTGAGGCTTGATTTTGAGAAGTCGTTTTTATCTTGACTCCCAAAACGAGGACTGATTCCTTACCAAAAGGAATTTCCTTTCAAAATGGAAAAATACAAAGGTGTAGCTTAAATTACTTTGGACTCTGGACTTGTCTGTAGTCCAAAGGGTTGTGAGACAGATTGTGACCAAATCTCACAGCTCAGAGGAGAAAGTCCAGTGGTCTGGAGCAGGGGCTGCATCTCCCAGTGGGAATGGCAAGGACTAACAGCTCAAGCCTTCAGTAGCTGGTGCTGGTACCAAAACATGCTCCATTTGAAGGAACAACAGTGATGGGGCCTACTTGATGTGGCATCCAGGCAGGAGCAGCTGAAAAACATCTTGTGTGCTCAGCCCAAGGGGAGAGAAGCAAGACTAATTTGGCATCACGAGAAATGCCACAATGTTTATTTCCACTGAGATCTTTATTTTATTTTATTTTTTTCCCCTTTCAACTGAAGATTGGCGCTTGGAAAAATCATTAAGCAGCGGTGACCAGAGGGAATCATGCAGCTCATCATATCTTTGTCATCACAGCTATTGATCAGAGCCACAATGAAAATGTGCCAACAATTCTAAACAACACCAGGCAAGAGCCGATGAAACCAAAGGTCATTAAGAGCCCCAATGCTTGATTTGGGTTTAGAAGGCACAGATGACTGGGAGCAATCCCTGAGACCATTTGGCTGTAACTTAGAAACAGTGAGGGATTTCTGTAATATATCTGTGATTGCTTTGTTGAGCATAGGGATCGGCATGAGATTCTGCTCAGTCTATTATACAGACAGCGTAACCAGAATAAATCAAAATTGTTTTAAAAAAAAAAATCTAATAAAGTACTTTTTCAGCTGTGACTTGTAAGTGTCACCGTGATGGATGGCACCACAATCCATTATGCAAAGACAAGGCTCTTAACATGAAATTTTAGAATTCAATTTTATGATTTACAGAGAGGGCCCCCCTCATATTTACGGCACAGCAGTCTGTTTTGATTCAATCTCTGCGTAATTGAAACCAGGGCCAGGGATCATGGTTAGTTCTCCGGCCGCTTTTTAAAAGGGGAGGAGAAATAACCGCCTATAACATTAATAATGGAGCTAAAGAGATTGCTTTGCTTGTTAAATCTCACTCACTTTGTCTCCTCGCCCTGGTGGCACTGACAAACGTGGGGAATACGGACACGGTGCCTCCATGCCAGGGATGTGTTTGGTGGGATAAAATCTGGCTGCCATGTGGGCAGCAGCATCCTCCATCCCATAGTGAGCCTGGCTGGGGCATTTTTGCTCCTGTTGTTACAGTCCTCCAGAGGACAGAAGTTTTTCAGCACCTCTTTTTATTATAATCACTCATTTTATTATGATCACTAAATAGTCCCCCGTTACACCAAAGAATTTTCATGAGTTTTGTAAAAAAAAAAAAAAAACAACAAAACCACAGCTTGCTTGTGTTTGCTTTTTGTTGTTGTTTTTCATCTCTAGGGTATATTTAAATAAAATTACTTGCGACTGTAGAGCAAACTTCAAACAGACACCATGGGAACACACAGGGCCCTGTCCAGCAACCCCCATCTCACTCCTGGATGAAGGGCCATTGCATGTTCCAGGGGGCCATTTCCTATGGCAGTTTTCCATCCTCTGCCACTCCCACCAAAAACAATCTGGCCCACCCAAGGGAAACATTTTGTGTTTCTTTTCTGCTCTCCTTTAATTACCATAAAACTTTGTGTTCCTGACCAAGTATTACATGGTTCAGCTGTTAACTCTGATCCCAAAGGTCAATGCTTTCTGGGGAGCATAAAAAACCACAAATGAAAATCAACTAAAAATATATATACATATATATATATTTTTCTCCTTAGAGCTGGAAACTGTTCAAGCAAACAATAAAACTTTCCAAAAAGAAAATTAAAATGTTTGGACAGTTCACAGATGCTATTAAAATAACCAATCAAAAAATCACACTTTTCTATTAAAAAGAAAAATGTTTATTTTGTGAGAGGACTTCTAATGCAGCTCCAGCCAAGAAGAGGACTTTGTATCAAAGCTGCATCTGTAAGCCCAGCACTGAAGACTCTTGTCATTACCCTGTGTAATAATTTTCCTGAAGTCTGGAACTAATTTTTTGAGAAATTTTTTTTCTCAACACTTTGTGTTTCTAATACTGTATTCTTGACTGTGTAAATACAACCAGGCTGTAAATAAGTGCAGATGTAGATACCTTCTAGAAAAAAGAAAAGCAGACAGAAGTGACCATGTGTAGCCTTCGGTGACAAATAAAACAATATTTTGTGTTTAAGTACTGCTTTCTTTTTTTTTTTTCCTGTGAAAATGTTCAGTTTCTTCACCTCAGCTGTTTGGTCCTTACATGGGAGATGGACCTGGCAAAGGAGTTGACCGAAATGCCCACCCACTCCTCAAATTTACACTCAAAGGTGCATGGCCCACCTGTAGATGGGATACAAGATTGCAAGTGTCCCCAGGGCTTTGCTGATCCTGGCAGTAATGCTAGGGATTCCGAGCATCCCTGAGACATCAGGGAAGCTCTCATTCTAGCAGAAAGGTAAGCAAACTGGGAAACTACATCATGCACTCCAAAAAATGTTTAAAAAAATAAAGCTATCATTAGATTTAGTGATGTGTCCGGTAGAAACCTATGCATCTGATCCTCATTCATGCAGAGGGAAACCCTGGTGTGATCCTTAATACCGCCTGGTCTAGCCCCACTGGTGGCTTATTCTGATGCTTCAGGAAAAGATCAAGAATAACTTCAGAAAACATGGCTAGATGTGTGTTGAGGGAAATATTCTTGCTGGTCCTTGGGGACAACCTAATGGAAAGATGAAGCATAGCACTGGGTGGCAATCACTGGAGGAGGAGCAGGGAGTGCCTCCATTGCCGTCCATGTTGACTGCCTGAGCACGGCTCTGCTCTCCAAAACCAGGTGAATTGGATCTTTCAGAACAAAAGGTAGAGTCCAGCATTGCTGGGTGGAATTCCCCTCCTCTGGAGATAGGTGGTTGTGATAGGGGAAATAAACAGCACCTCTCTTTTTCCTTTGACACCAGGCAGAGCCACAGGGACCAGTTCAGACCTCTTTGCATGCGTGTCATGTTAGGTGAGAGGTGTCCAACTGCTGGTGGATATTAGTGTGTGCGAGATTTCCCTAAGGTTTCTACCTGGCTTTGGCCATTCCTGGTGGGATGCCATTCTCTCCACCAACAACATGTGTTTTCTTTCAGGGCCATGTTCCTCAGTCTTCAGTTTCCAGCCACCAGACTTGTTGCAGCTCCTGAACCCTCCTGCAAAGCAAATGTCCCCTTGGCACCAATCAAGTCCCCTCTTTGCTGTCCCTTTGCTACACCAAGCAGGATAGACTCCTTCAGCCTCATAGCACAAAGTCTATTTTCCAGTTCCTGGGTATTTGTAATTTCTCCATCCTCTGGCATGCTTAGCCACCTTTCCTTCAGCAGGAGAGTTTCACTTACCTTATGCATAAGGCCGGATCTTGATCCCACACTCATCAGAGATTTTTGTCTCCAAGGAAGGTGTTGCCCCCTTCTTTCTTGCCCTGGAAAGTGCCCATTGAGATAATTACATGGCCAGCTTGATGTCCTCCCCTGATCTGAAGCCTTTCCTCCAAGACAGATGCATTAGTTTGCATCGCGTTGTTACTCACATGCATTTTCCTGGGCTGTGCTTAGCCAGGGAATTCAGATCACCCTGCGACAGTGACCTGCCCTCCCCAGTCCATCACTCGCTGCGCCACCTGCAGTTCATCATCAGAAAAGACCCTGACTTAAATCACTGATAATGTTATTGAAATGCATTGGACCAAGGACTAATCCCTGAGGGTAGCCAAGGAAACAGCAACATTTTAAGTTGTCGGTGAACCAGGTTTGGCTCTGCCTCATGTGGTTGTGCCAGATAAGACCAATGTTTTAATCAAAATATCGTAGGTAGTAAATCAAGTGCTTTCAGGAGAACTGCCCTGCCATGTCAGTCCAATAGGCCAGAGCAAACTTATCACACTATGTTTTTAATAGGGGCCATAGCCAGAGGCTTCTGGCTTATCTTTCACAACACTACAAGGAGACTCTCCTTGCTTTTAAGACGAAAGCATAGAAAAAATTGTCCTCTTCTGCATTCTCCATAGGAAGCAACTAAAGCCTCAGCCATGGACCACATCTCACATATAACTGGAAAACAAAGAATGGTGATTACGTTTGGATGGGAGAAATAGACATGGGTAGAGAACAGGTGGCTCATCCCCACAGAACTGCTCCAGCCACATGATTCTTCCCAGGTCCAAAATTTTGCCACTGGCTGGCACAGCACATCACACAGCTCACCTGAAATATTGGTCCTAGAGGACTTTTTAGCTCAGTTGTGTCTTGAGATGGTGTATGTACCCATGCAGTCCTGCAATGCAACAATGTGGGCAGGTAAGTACCAGCTGCAGCAACCCCCCATCCCTCCACTGCACAGCATAGAGGGGGCAATGTTGCACCTCCAGGCTACAGAAAGCCCAAGGTTGTTGTCCCCAGTGCCTTTTGGCTCTCCTCTGCAAAGGTGTAGGTTGGAGATATAGAAAAGCTGAGCTACTGCTAAGAGCAGGGACAGAGACTCTTCTTCAGAGAGTGATCTGCTTTAAAACATTATCTGCTTGTTAGTGTGTCTCTTTGAAGTAACTGAGCTCAGTTTTTTGTGGAATCATGACAGTTCTGGTTTGAACCAGTTGTTTCTATGTGGTGATCATTTGCAGAGAATTTTCCAGGACAAGATGAGCTCCTTTGAATGCAGCCTGCTAAAATAATGACAGTCAGGGCAAGGGAATTGCATGGATGATTGTGAGTCGGATGTTTAAAAATTATTTCTTCGTTTCTGTCTAGAAAACTGCTCCAACCACCAACCCACTACATAAACTACAAGCCCTAACACCTCCTTCTCCTCCAGCGTACTGTTTGTAAAAACACAAGCCTTTCTAAGTCCTGCCAGCATATCCTTGTCAAGATTTACTTGGTGAACAATGGGAAGGAATATAGGAACAGAGTAAGCACCATGTCTTTGCAGTTAACAACCCAGCATGCTTAGGCTTAAAACCAGCTCATCTCCCACTTTCTGAATTAAATGAAATAGACCCACAGGCAAAACATGGCTCTGAGTTTGGACTTCGATCTGCTACATTATTCAGTCTGCTTGAGCGTCTCCAATTCCACCTCTCGAGACACAGAGTGGAGTTTTTTAAACCAAAGCTCAGAAAATATTTTTTTACCCCAGGGTTTTCCAGGCAGAAATCAGCAGGCAGATCATGAGAGCAAGTTTGTTCAGCAAAGCCAGTCCCACAAGTGAAATGCTACAAGCCAGTGGAACCACAAGATGGCTTTGATTTCTGCCTCCAAGAGCGGGAGATAAGAGGGATCCATTAACTCTTTGCTATGCTGTTATTTTCCATCCAGAAGATCCTCGTGTCTTTTAGGAGTTTTACACAACCAGACTTCATCATAGAATCACGGAATCATTTAGGTTGGAGAAGATCTCTTAGATCATTAAGTCCAACCATTAACCTAGCACTGCCAAGCCCACCACTAAACCACCTTCCCAAGGGCCACATCTACACATCTTTTAAATCCCTCCTGGGATGGTGACTTCACCACTTCTCTGGACAGTTGGTTCCAATGCCTGACAACCCTTTTGATGTTGAACTGCCTTGCAGCAGTGACAGTTTTGGGACACTGCAGGAGTGCTGTTCATACTCTTCAGGCTCTGGAGGTGGCTCAGGAAAAGGAGCTACGAGCCAGCCAGCAGCAGCAAGGGGGGGCAGTTCCAGAAACAAGGCAGATAAGGAGGAGCAAGAAGAAAAATCCAGTGTTGCACTGGACATGTGTGGAATTTCAACTAACTTCCTCCTGGACCCACCAGAATCATTCAGGATGGTGGAGGAGCTGGTGGATGAATGTCTCCATATTTGTCGAAGATTTCCAGGATTAGTTGCATCTGCTAGGGAAGCCAGCCATCGGGGTGGGGTGTGCCTTAGGATGTTGGAGCTCCTGTGAGGCTGATGCTGTCTACCCCCTGCTCGTACCTCTGAAACCTTCCCATGAGCACACCTTCCACCAGCGAGGAATTCCAACCTCCACATGAAGCTGGAGTGCATCTGCAAGAGGGAGCAACTGGTGGAGGACATGTTGTGCTTCTTCCACCACCCTAAAGAGGAGCTGAGGAAAAATCAGTGTTCCAGACTACTGCACATCTCCTCTGCACCAGTCCCTACCTGGACATGGAGAAAACACCCGCTGGTTCCAGATATTGTTAAAAGCAACCTGGGTGGTTTTTCCTCACAGTAGGAGATACTGGAATAAAAAGATCAGTAAGGGTCAGTCAGGAGCTCCCCTTTCTATACCTAAAAATCTTCTGCATTTATATTGCCAGTATACAGCAAACCTTTACAATAGTCAAGGGGCAAGTCCCAAGGGTGCAACTATCCCAAGGATCCCACGGATTTTCCACTGAGACCTTCAGGGCCCAACAGGTGGGTGACACCAAGAAAAAGAAAGATTTTTTCACCTGTGTAAATACAGCTCCTAGAGTTTCATGTCAGCTGGTGGATCTCAGCTGACAGATTTCAGCATGCCTGAGTTTTGGTCCAGGAGCCTAAAATGACAGCTGTAAGAGGTTAGAGTGTTCTGTCTGTCATTTTGGACATGTCCTGCACTAGACCTAGGGTCCTCTTCTGTTCATTCTTACCTCTTCTGTACATTCTTGCTTGGGCCGGCTCTGCTTTGAGGCAAAGAGCTGGGGCAAGAGGATATTGTGCAGGGGCATTGCCTGCCTCTGCTCCACATGCTCAAACTCCCTCCCCAGTGCTTGCAGGCCTCTGCATGTCACACTAGAAAAAGCCACCTCCAGCATTTGATAAGGCAACACCAAGGAAGGTCTCCTGCATCATGCCTATGGCTTTGGGAAGCTCAGGGTTTAACACCTACACAGCATGCAGGACACCTAGGTGTGCTGCTCACAGCCCACTACTGAAAGGGAGCTGTATAGTCACATAGAAATATAGAAATACATGCATATTTTTAAAAGGAGTAGCCTTCCAATGGACTTTCAGGTATTTATAAGCATTTAAGAGACTCTTCTATCCCTTCCTGCTCTCCCCCCACTCTCACGAACACACAAACCCCCATCCCTACTCTCCTCCCTGCAGGTGTACTTTGAGTAAGCAAAGCACCGT